ATAATTCAATTTGCATAAACTTTTTTTTATTTTGTAGCTCTCTTTATACTTTATAAAACAAAAAAAAATTCATTAAAATTGGACTTTTAGATGGTGAGATAATTGCAAAAAAAGCTTCTTAATAAACAAATTATATATTATTTACTATAAAAGATATATTATTACTATAAAAGGTATATTGTGACATCCGATTGCAAGACCTGACCCCCTACCCACCTACTAAATCATGTAATTTCTGGCACGCCCCTTATACAATTTATTATGAAGTATTAGAATAATAATGGTTTAGGTGTAAAAGAAATACATCATGAAATTAGGCAACCCTTAAGTGATTTGAATTCCATTTCTGAGATAGCTAATCCTGAGTATCATAGAACAAAAGGTAGGCCACCAAAACGTTATAAATCATCAGTTGAAACAAGTACTAGTAAATCTACTACATCAGTTAAAACATGCAGCTATTGTTTGGGTAGGAGAGGATCTCGCTTACTTATAAGATAGGTCACCCCAGACCTAAAGTAAAAATCATAAAAAGGTAAGTTTATTATATTAACTTTAAAGTGTTAGTATATTAGTATTATAAATATTTACTAAATATATGAAAAAATTCCAGATTAAGACAAAAATAAAGCTGGCATAGAACGACTACAAGAGCAATATAAAAATTATGGTAAATATATCTAGTACAGATTTAATAATACAATATAAATGTTACTACAATTAAATTTGCATATTTTTTAGGTCAAAAATATCAAAAGTTGGATCACTTGGATGATACAATTGATCCTTTAAGTAATAGTACTTTTGTTAGCAGTAATAGAAAGAGCAGAAAGAGCAAAAATTCTAATACTACTAGAATATTTGATGATTGGGATAATTGGAAATCAGATAATTAAGACTTATATAATGTGCAAAATAAAACCATCACACCTATTTGAAAATTAACGAAATGATATCTTTTAAAAAAAACTGTATTCCAAGATTCAGTAATATCTTCAGAAGATATAGATTTACACGAAATATCTGCAGCAATTGCAAATATTTTGCAACCAGAAAATTTAGAGAATATGATACAAACTGCAATCAATTGTGAAGTTGAAAAACGTGTCAAATTATTTTTTGATAACCGTACTAATTTTATAATTTCATCCTCTTTGTCTCATTTATCATTTTCTTCATCTCACTTATCATCTGCACCTCAAAAATGAAAATATAGTATAAATTTAGATTTTTTTAATAATAATTACTGTATTATTAAATAATTTCTTTATCTATTATTTTTTTTTTTATATTTTAGGATCAAAATCATGTAATTATAACTGTAATGGAATTTATATAAAAATGTAAAACCTTTCTGATACAACTTTTGAATCAATAATCAATGCAATGTGACCAAAAAAACTAATTTTTGAAGATGAATCTGATATATATAAATGTAACAAGAAGTAAAGCAAAAAAATTTTTCAAGCATATTGTTGTAATTTAAATAATAATTTATCACAATACGCCAATATTGTGATTGAGCATTATAATAAAGAAAAGTAAGTTAACTTTATTAATATTGGTTTATTTCTTATTATCATAATATGATTATTTAACCATGGATTTTATTAACAGAAATGCTAGTAGAATTCATTTTTTTATCAAATCAATAATTACAGAATATGTATCTGATGATTTTATACGTAAAATTTTTAATACATATATGGTCTACACATCTGCAATAAAAGATAAATAGATGATATCAATGCATTAGATATTTTAAAATCATTTCTATGCAAAGTATTAAACTTCCATATTGGTGAAAAGCTAAATGGTAATCATAATCATAAAGAAACCTTGCATAAAATAAAAGGTTTAGATTATATTACTAAAGATTTAGTATTAAAATATCATCTTTATGCTGATGTCATTAATGATATCTAATGCAATAGATTATTACAAATTTATACTAGCTTAGTTACTTTGAATAATAATTATATAGTACATATTAGAAGTATTTTGAAATATCATGTATATAAATATCTTTATTTACATTTATAATTACTTTGAATATATAGTTTGTAATAATATTATCATATAACTATTAATAGTATGTTAAAAGCATTTAAAAATATACTGTATGAAATATCTTTATTTGCATTTAAAATATTTTTAAAAATTTAATTATAAAAAACTTTTCCAATATTCTAAAGATATTGCATTCTTAATGATAATTTTAAAGTATTGTATGAAGGTGACATATGTTTTAAAAATATTCTTATGATATCTTTAAAAAATTGGCTTATCCAGCAAAGATATTACAGTAAATTGTGAAAAAAAATTATTAAAAAGAGATCAGATCAAATTGGAATCACATGATTTTTCACCATAGCTAAAGTACTATACTTTTTGGGGGTTTGCTTTGTATAATCATTATCAGATGATTCTTATGAATTGTTAACCTCATATTAGCTCTTTAAGTTATTCCAAACCTGATTTGCAGAGATAAAATTTCACATCATTCGCAAAACAAGGGCAAGTCTGTAATATCATTTAGTGTTGATCTCCATAAATAGTTATAAGTCCAAAAGTCAAGTAAATATAATGGTTGTAAATCAAAATTACCATCTTTTAGCTAATCACTATAGTATAGTATTTACAGTCAATTTACAACTTATGTTTATAATATTACAACTGCTAAAGGTTGTAATTCAATATATAATAATTGTTACTTATGGCAACCAACCTTAATATTATTGTGTGAAAATTTCACAGACCCAATTTTTCAAACTATGTAAAAAGGTTTGATATACTCCATCTTATTCGGATTTTGCTTATATCCATAGCATTGTGAACCTTATACACATAAACCTTCTTTAGGTATTACATAACCTAATTCATACTTTTCTTTCTTGGAAGCATGGTGAGTATATCTCTTATTTCTCAGAGTAGCTTATAAAAATCTTCAGCCATCTTCCTCCTATCTTGGTCATATGAAGCAAAAGATATTTCCAAGACAAAGCATTCACATCCATCACTTGAAAGTCCCATTTCATCTCCCTTATGACCAGATGAAACCTTTGGAAGAGTAAGAATGTCACAGTCACCATTAGTGTTGATCTCCATAAATAGTTGTAAGTCCAAAAATCAAGTAAATATAATGGTTGTAAATCAAAATTACCATCTTTTAGCTAACCACTATAGTATAGTATTTACAGTCAATTTACAACTTATGTTTATAATATTACAACTGCTAAAGGTTGTAATTCAATATATAATAATTGTTACTTATGGCAACCAACCTTAATATCATTGTGTGAAAATTTCACAGACCCAATTTTTCAAACTATGTAAAAAGGTTTGATATACTCCATCTCATACAGATTTTGCTTATATCCATAGCATTGTGATCAGCATAGCGGACATGCTTATATCACCATGCCGATCATTTTGCTGATCATATATATTTTTCAAACTTCAATAAACAATATCTCGAAATTCAGTCATCCAATTTTGATAAAGTTGTGCTCATTGGATTCGCCTCATCGAGACGAGTCAAATGGTGGTATTTTCATTAATTTTGGATCACTAGATGCCAAGATATTCACGATTTTGTATTTCTATTATGAATTATCACATTATATAAAATCGGCCGATCTGGCTTGGCTACACCGATATACATTCGGCCGGGCTATAAAAATTGATAAATTTAAGTTTTTTAACGATATAGAATAAAATAATAAACCTTTTTCATTACTAAAATTGATATTTATTAATTTTATATATAAATTTTTAGTATTTAATTAGGAAATTTACTATTTTTAGACTTTAAAACTTTGTACAAAGCCACAGACTTTTAAGCCAACTCTGAAATTTTCATCATATATTTGTTAACCATTTAGAAATATATGGTGAAAAAATGGCATCCTAATTCGCTTGAAACCAAAAGTTACCTATATACTATATTTAGTCAATTTTAATAAATTTGCAATTTTTAGACTTCAAAGTTTTGTACAAAGCCACAGACTTTTAAGCCAACTTTGAAATTTTCATTATATATTTGTTAACCATTTAGAAATATATGGTAAAAAAATGGCATCCTAATTCGCTTGAAACCAAAACTTACTTATATGTTATATTTAGTCAATTTTAAGTAATATATGATTATTTGATTTTAAAACTTTATATATTTTCTAAAATTTATTTTTGTTTACTATTTTAAAAATATAAGATAAAATTAATTATTTTAAAAGTTTTCTATGTGTTATATTTAATCAGTTTTTTTATAAATAGACAAAAAAATTGCTTTAGCAAAATTAGAAAATCCAATCCAATTTAAAATAAAAAAACAATATTTTTTTAAATACTTTCATAATTTTTAATTATAAAAAATGGATAACACTTCTACTTTTTCAAATATTTGCAATTTTGATTCCATTGAATGTAATGGAAGAATAAAGCCAATCACTTATAACACTAAAATACCAAAATCTACTGAATTAATTATTTCAGTTGGAATGTATTTATGCCAAATACATTACAATCAATTTATTTTAAATGAAACTAGAAATATTAATTATAATAAGAGTTGTGAGCATCCAAAACATGATGAATATAAAAATCAATCAAAAAATACAAAAAAAAAATCAAGCAAACTTAATCTTAAAAAGGTTCCAAAAAGATTAATTGAAGTTTTAGAATTAAATGAATCTTCAGAAATTTGTAGTATGTGTAGAAATAAAACTGATAAAGATTCTGAATATTTACAAAATGAAAAATACAAAGCACCTATTCCAATTAAAAAAAACAATTTAAATGATAATGATAATTTACAAGATGAATCAATAGAAACTATACAAGATGAACTAATAGAGGCTATACAAGATGAATCAATAGAAGTTATACAAAATGAATCAATAGAAGTTATACAAAATGAATCAATAGAAACTAAACAAATAAAAACTTGTCAACATCCAAAACATGATGAATACTTAAATCAATCAAAAAATACAAGCAAACAATTTAGTCTTCAAAAAGTTCCAACAAGATTAATTAAAGTATTAGAATTAGATGAACTTGCAATGATTTGCAGTATGTGTAAAAAAAAAACTGATAAAGATTCTCAATATTTACAAACTGAAGAATATAAAGCACCAATTTCTAGAAAAAATAATAATGACAATATATCAAAAATAGGAAATCATACTTATTTATTTAGAAAAGATATCTTATATACTGGAGAAGAATTACAACAATTTGAATCAGATTATCAAGAAATTATGACACAATTAAAAATTTCAAGTGAAATTAAATTAAGTAGTAAAATAATAAAAATGTCTAATATTCTTTATAATAATCAACATAGATTAAATCTTAAACCTATTTATGATCCAATAGCTTTTAAAACTATGTTAGAAACAGCTGATAAAGATTTAATTGGATTTTTTGATGAATTATATGCTGGAACTAATCCTAATACTAAATCTGAAACAACAAATAATAACAACAAAAAAAAATTAGTTTCTTTATGTTATTTTTTAGCTAGCATTAATAATAAATATATTAATGGAATTAAAGTTGATATTGGATCATACTTGGAAACTTCTGGAGCTTCTTCTTCTTCTATTGATACATTGGCAAATATAGGAGTTTCAGTAACAAGAAAAACAGTAAATCGTAAAAAAAATTTTATTTCAAATGAACACCAACAAACTGTAGATAATTATTGTTTACAAAATATAGAAAATATGTTTATTCTTAATATAGATGATTACCATAATATTCATAGGCGTAATCAACCAACATTGTTACAAACTCACAATATTTATCATTTTGTAACAATATTATTGAATACAAATACTAAAATTCCAAAAATACCATTTTATTCATTAAATAATTTTTCAATACATAATCCTAAAGGAATTGATTCTGGATTAATTATTAATAACATTAAAAATAATTTTATGAATCAATTAGGTAAAAGTTATTATATGCAAAAAGAATTATGGAAAAATTTTTTAATTGAAGATTCTTATGAAAATAGAGTTGAACTACTTAATATTCATAATTATGATGGTAGAATTCAAAATTACCATGAATTAAGATCAATGTCTAATAGCAAATTAGTAGACTTTATTTTGCATCCTTTACATAGTACTAAGGATTATATTGAATGTTTAGATTATGTATTTAAAGCATTTGAAAGATTAGAAAATATTGAAGAAAA